GTTGAAACTAGTTACGTTTAACTAGCTCAGGTGCCTTCAGAAGTTGAGTTTTGGAAAAGCTATTATTTCTGCCATAGAAGTGATGACGAACATACCCAGAGGCAACTGGGTCCCCCCCTGCCACCATCAACAGCTTACTTTTTTGCGGGGCAGGGGTTGATCACATTTTTTAGGATGAGTCATTTATGCTAAGAACTGTTTAGAGAAAACAGAATGACTTCATCAGGGCCCTGTGGAACTCCATCTTCCCAACTAGCAACTTGCTTAGTTTTGTATCTTAAAACCATTTGATTAAGTCCAGAGCTTCTTTCTGGGTGTTGAAACATGGTAATCACAACACCCAGGGAAACCGGGCTGTGAGACGACAGCTTTCTAGAGGCTATTTATGAGATACAGATGCAGAATCTTGGAGACCTCAGAGTGGTGTGTGAACGCGGCGTCTGCAAGACCCACTTGCCAGCCAGAGACCCTTTCAGACCTCGGGTCCAGGCTGAAGACGAGGTAAGGCCAGCAGCGGCCCTAATGCACCAGACCCGGCTCTCCGTGGAGTCTGTTTGGGAATGCCACAGAGAGCAGGGCACCGAGGGCTATAAACTGACCAAAGCGACTGAGTATTTGAAGGAACCAAGTCTTCAAAGGGCAGAACCTCAAGACACAACCGGGCCTCCGAATCTCTATCAGGGGCGAGGATCCCTGAGGAAGAGGAAGGAAAAGAGACCGAAGGGCCAGGCATCTAAAATGTATTGGATTTGAGACCACCGTTCCTTTAGAGCACTCGAGTCTACCAAGTGTGTCTAGAAGTCAGGATGACAAAATTTTCTGAATTAAAAAACCATAAGTATCCCTGGAGCAGAGGTCTGCTGAGAAATACAGACACCGAGTCTGTACTAGTGCAGCAGCCCAACCAGTGCACCCAGAGCTCATTTCCTGGTACATCGCTGCTCTCCAGGAAATGCTGACCAAATTCCAAGTGAATAATGGCATGGTCCAGGGATGGCCCAGTCACTGGGTGCACATGTCCAAAAGGGCAGAGCATATTCGGAGAGAGGACCATGACGGCGCACCTACGGAGCCCTGGATAATGGAAAATTTTGGTTCAGTGATGTACCGAAGCCTTCACCTCTGGTCAGCATTACTGGGAGGGCGACACGGCCCATCCCTCCAGCTGGATTGTGTTTGTGGAAATTCTGGTAGAGGTCATATGCACCACAGTATTGATTTCAACTTAGCATTTCTATTTCCATTGAAGAGGAACAACCAGACTTTCCACCAACTCCCATTAACTCATTATGTTCAAAGCCTTGTGGGCTGGGTCGGGTGCTTCTGGACTATGAAACAACACTGGGCTTCTAGGAGTTTCCAACGCTTCCCTCATAGACAGCTCCCTTTCTCCTCCTGAGAGCTTTCCTTTGCCCAAAGTGAAAATCAAGTTTCATGACTCTTCCCCAGTAAATGCCC